TACCGCGCTGAGCCAATCACGGCAGGCTTTGTATTAATGAATACAAAGCCTGTATTCATTAATACAAAGCCTGCCGTGATTGCATCAGCGGAAGATGGAGGACACAGCGGGGATCGTGGACAAGGTAAGAGACTGTAATCCCGAGTGTGGCTCGGGGTTACCGCTTACGGTACTGAAAATTAACCCCAAGCCACACTCGGGAATGCCGCCATGGATGTTACTGGGTGCATTTAAACATTATTTTGGGCTACACTCGTCTTAAACGACGAATATAGCCCAAAACCTATATTTTAACACAAAAAGTATGGGATCGTCTTATACGCCGAGTCGTCTTATACGCCGGCAAATACGGTATACAGTATATGTAAACGAAAACTTATGGTTGGGGTAAGATAAGGCCATTAAATTTGGTGGCTGCAGTATTTTTCATTTTTCAGGATAAAGTACAATAAAAATATATGTTGATCTTGTCAGATATGCAGCACCATTGTCACTTCATGTGAGATGAAAAGAAAGCACAAACATCCTTAATTTTTATGTGTAAACTACTAGTCTCATCAATTCACCACGTACTGGAGATGAACAAAGGCAGACATGTTTGAAGACTAGCCTTTGTGACAACCATGGTTGCCCCCACTGATACAGACACCACATTTAAGGACTGGTAAACTGCAATATAATAAATGTTTGTTTTGGGGTTTAGATAGATTCTAAATGCTACAGCTGCAAAAAGAAAAATACTACAAAATGTATACTTGTGTATGACACTATGTTGTTTCTGGTTCCCTGCTGCTCTCTGCATCAAGTGTCTTCCAATATATTTTTCCTTATAGGTTTAAAACATTTGTTAATTTGATGTACTTATTTAATTGCAAACAAAAAAGGAAACCAAATCTTTAAAACACTAACATATTCCAATATTACTGTTCATGTAAATCACATAAATGTACATACTGTAGATCTCCTCCTTGCTGTTATGCTAGCATCCCTCCTCTGCTGCTACTTCTCCTCAGCGTCTATAATAGAGACATTCCTGGGAGCCAGCCAGAGTGGCCCTCCGGGACAGATCCCTCTGGATGGTCAGAGAGACCATGTGACACAACAGTGTACTGAATACATTGCTTTGTACCAGCACGTGTCTGACAGAAGGAGACCAGCTAATCTAACTTACAGAATTGGTCAATAGCATGTGGAACATTGACTAGTTTAAATATTTTTTTTTTAATTTTTGTCATTGATTTTTTGTTTTAACTATACATTTGTAGTGCAAAACACAGGGTTAGGGTTTTCAAATGTAGGCGATACTTTTCTGGTACCCCTGTTATCAGAACAAATAGGATGGTGAGAGATAGAAGAATGCCACATCTGTCCCCAGAATAACAGTGTCTCTTTTTTATGTAAATAAGCAAGGTTTTATCCGTGGAAGCTGCAAACTGAAAATGGCAAGAAGGTATGATAAAGCTCCAGACACCAAGGGCTTAAGAGCATGTCCATCTTTTAATATTGCAGTGAACATTTGTGCTGCGTGCTATCTGATTGTCACAGATCTACTTGGTTTTGCAGCTTGCCACAGATTTCCCCATTAATTAGAAGAGCAAATTCTTCCAGAATTCTTTCTGCGTAGCAAGAACAGTGATCTAGAGACGGGCAAACTGATTCCACAAGTCAAGAGTGTGCAGTGGATGCCGTCACTTTGCTTGAGGTCAATGCTCACTAATAATGAGACATCAATGCCACTGTGATTTATGTCATTGTGCTGCCATGCATTGCATTGGTTGTGACATTGATAATATATGGGTAAACTGATGCTAGAGGAGAACTATAAAACCAGGTCTTATTAGTAGCCTGTGCTATAAAACACAACTGGAAATTTACATTTTAGTATGTGACAGTTTACTGTTAGAGTAAGGACTGGACATACAAGAATCACTTTGTTACAGCAGACCAGATTGAACATGTAATACAATATGCAAACTGAGAATCCTTGCTTTTTAATCCAAAGTTTGCTTGATCACAGACTCTTCCAGTTCATATGACTGGGTAGCTCATCTTTATAGAAATTCTCCCTGAGGGACTCTAACAGAGACTGATCTCAGCCATGATGGGACCTAGTAATCCTACTGTACCTAACTCAAAACTAGAGGAGCAAACCTTTATAACACAAATGTGATTTGTGTCAATAGCTAAATAAAGCATACAAAAGTACATACAACGTTTATGAAAATATATATATTTTAAAGTTGATACAAAGTTTATTTTTAAATCAATATCCTTCAAACCGTCATATTATCCACTTTACAACCTTATGGGCATTCAAAGAAGACCAGATTATCAGCTTGTCTCACAATAAAAACATTATTATTAGAAGGATTCGCTGGGATTGTACGCCTGTGCTCCAGTTTAAAATGATACTATTTGGTATTTGGAAGATTTGTTGCATAGCAAATGACTGTGTGGGACAACATTTATACTTACAAAAAAAGAAAATAATTCAGCACATTTCCTTCAAATTATTTATTTTCAAATTAAGATGCCGAACTGGTAAACTGCTTATTCACATAAAACAAAATCTATTACTATGAAGCAACTCAAGGAAGGAAAAAAAAATAATCACACTTTGGTACTTCACATGAACAGATGCTCTTAGTGTTTCAAGATTGGTCTCTGTCTTATACATTAATGTCCTACATTAATGTTTTAAAGGCCCATTTAGTACCTAAGCGGTTAACACTGCTGTGCTGTTATGTGCCCTGCAAATGGTCATAAGTTTTGCTTTTGAACATCGATTCATGGAAAAGCTATTGTTGCAGATTTTGCTGTATACACATAATCAGGTCCAGGCTTTGAGAACACTGTTAACCCATATTCCCGAGGTGTCAGCAAAGCTTTGCTCATATGCACTGTCAGCATAAAGCAGCAGACCAAGTAACAAAGTCTCAAAAGAAGACGGTTTCCGGTCTGCTTAATGGTAAGAATGGGTTTGCCAGTTACTTTACAAGTATGACCTTAGTCCGTACAAGGTTTTGGGACACTTGGTTCCAAATTATCCTCAACACCACTTATAATTATCTTTGTGTAAATGTACAGAAAAACCTGCCTACAGCAATCACAGCTAAGCGGTTTCTAAAAAAACAACTAGTCTTTAACTCCTTAATTGCCAGAGGTATTTTGTACCATTTTGCAACTCAAATGACCCTGCTATAAAGGCTTTTAGAATGTGCTCAGGTGCTGTGTAGTGGTCGGTCTCTTCCCCTTGACAGTAAAGGGCATAGTGAGATGGATTTTTATAACAAAGTGGTATCTTTCTAATAGGTGATCAGTGTCAGATGTTGGTGACAACCTGTTCACAGCAGACATACAGGTATAAACGTGTACTGCAAATAACAACCAGTTCAATATCATTTTAACATTACAGAGCAATACACATTGATATGGTGAATATAGGCCTGAATGTTTTAACCACCTGTGGATCTGCCACTGTATTAATATGACCGGTCCGCTGGTGCATTGTTCCAGGAGGACGTACCTGTACGTCCTTTCTATGAATGCGTGTGTGCGCATGGCTGTGGACGCTGTAGCCGCTGCCCCTGCTGTCATTAGACAGCAAAGAGCCATGGCTTTACACACAGAGATGGACCGGCTCTGTGTCCTGAGATTGCTTATCACAGCAACCACATGGCAATGTTTACATTGCAGAGCCCTCCCCTTCGTCTTACTTCAGAGACAGGAAAGAGTAAAGGGAGTTATGAATGGATGAGTCATCCATTCATTACTCACTAGTGGAAAGCAGCAGCATAAAATAATTAACGTTTCAAAACATTTTTAAACCTCCTCCTCTCCTGCTTATGCTAGATCCACTCTGTCTATGCACTGACCTATATATTAACCCTTTCACCTCCCTTATCCTGCACATCTATACATTAACCCCTTCATTCCATCCTTCCACTGTATGTGACCTGTACATTAACCCCTTTACCTCTGCCTCCATCCCTCCATGACCTGTACATTTATTGTATCTTATGCACTATTACCAAGCTCCATGTACTAAACCCCCAAAACTAGCATGTTTCTTCATTTCCCAAAAATTGGGGCAAAAAATCAAATCACCTTGGAGTGTCTATTTACTAAAAGGGGTCATTAGGGGATTTTCATACTGTCCTGATATTTTTGTCTGCTATGATTTAGTAGTAAGAGAAACAGGCTTTTTCAATTTTCATTGGCCTTTTTTACTTTATATAGTAAAAAATGTTTTTAAAAAAGCGTAGAAAAGTACAAATAAACGAATTTCCTTCGGGGCCCTTTAGATAGTTGGCTATCATACCATACCTGCAAATAAGACAGACATACAACACACTAACCCTCCTGTTGCCATCAACTGGCTTACTCAGTAACCATGCAAAATAAAATATGTAGAGTGCTTTTATCTAAAGAGAATAATCAAGTTCTCCTAACAATTACCACACACTGGTTGGGTAGGTGGGTGGGTTACTCTACTTTGCAATTTACCAGTACAGTTTTCACTGCTTTTCTGATTAAGGATGTGTGTGTAAATGAGTAAGAAATATCAGTAAAACGCTCACTCTTTCACATAAGTGCCTCAAAAATCTGTATACAGGTAATAGAAATAGGGCAGGTATAAAAAGGTATTATTTGGGGAAAATACATGCAGTTCACCAATCTTCATATCTGTCTTTACCTGCAGTCATGATTTTGGCAATCAACAAAGGAAGAAGGGGCGTGTGTAACCAGTGGGAATAAGGTTTCCCCATAGGATTGCTGGATTTTGCTAATAGGGTAAGGGATTTAAAGATTTGGGAGTGACCAATGAATAGAGAGCTGCTGCTCCTTTAAACAGACAGGTATTCCAGAAACAACCAGCTGTAAAGAGTAGTGGATATAATCTAATTAAACTGTTGGTATCCACATCTTGCAAGGTACATTAAAAGAACAAGAAAAAAACATTATTACATTAAAACAACAAGAAAAAAACATTACTGTACCTTGCAAAATCCAAATCAGCTTCGCGGGACATAGTGATATTAGTGAGGTTCTGCTGGAGGACAAAAATATTTCTGCACATTTTCTTGATCCCAGATTCACTGATGCGTTTGAAGTACTGGGCTCCATTAATGAGGATGCAAGAAATCAGATGTCCCAAACCTGTAAGAAAGATAAAATCTTAAAGTGCGCCTCATAGTTCAGGGTCATATCAGAGTAAGAACTCTTTAAAAAAATAACCCTTGCAGTGGGGCTACCCCTGCACTGCAATGCGTAAGTGCTCCTCTTGGTCTAGGGTCCAAAAAGAAGATACACTCATCTGATCCTTGGTCCCATGGCAGTAACTGCTCACTTCTCTCCTCCTCTGCTCCGGATGTGGAATGTCCCTCGGCGTCCTCACATTCAGTGCAAGTCAATGGATGTAATGACATCACGGATCCTTAGACCGCTGAAGTCTGGTGAAGAGGCTTCGAGGATCGAGGATTGGGTAAGTATATATATTTTTTCAGTCTCTAAACCAGAAAGAACCACAAAATGAGCTACCCCCGTACTGCAAGGGTTAATTTTTTTTACATGCCCAGAGTTGCTCTTTAAAAAAATTGTGATGTAAAATCTTTATAAATACTGAATAAATAATGCCAACATAGTGGTGGTCAAATCACTGCACACAAATCGAGCTCTGCCATTTCACTGACATCCACCCAGGGCCACCACCAAGGTGTTGCAGTGCTGCAACCTTCGTAGTTTGCCCGATGGGTGTTGCACACGACCTGTATGCTTTATTCCTTTTTCTACATAGAAAAAAGAAATGATTGTCTAAAGGTCACAGACAGAGTTTGCAATAACTCTACAACTAACACTCCAGGAGTTGCTTTTTTTTTGTCAGATAATTGGGAGGGGGGATTAAGATGCAATACCAGTAGTTATGAGACTCAATGTTTGGTTCCCTTTTGACCTCTACATAATGTATAGACCATGAAGACCAATTCAGTGCTTATTTAAATCTGAAAAAAAATTAAAAAACAGACGCGTTTCGCGTATGTGCCGACATGTATTTACATGATTTCATGGGAGCTGAGCTGTGCTGCAGTATGCTTTTTGGTTGCATTTGTTTTTTTTTCTTTCAAAAGTTTTATTGTTTTCTTCAAAACACAAAATCACAATTTTGGTTGCATTTGACATTTGTAGTATGTGGATACCATTTCAGGAACATTTTAGAAAATTCTTATTAAAATATTATTTTATTTCTGTTGTCTTTATACAGTTCTGTCACATTGAGTATACACTCACTGACCACTTTATTAGGTATACCTTGCTAGTACTGGGTTGGACCCCCCTTTGCCTTCAGAACTGCCTTAATTCTTTGTGGCATAGAGTCAACAAGGTGCTGGAAACATTTCTTGAGACTTTAGCCCATACTGACATAATAGCATCACGCAGTTGCTGTGGATTTGTTGGCTACACATCAATGATACAAATCTCCCAAAGGTGCTCCATTGGAGTTAGGTGACGGTGGAGGCCATTTGAGTACGGTGAACTCATTATCATGTTCAAGAAACCAGTCTGAGATGATTTTAGCTTTGTGTGCGTTATCTTGCTGGAAGTAGCCATCAGAAGATGGGTACACTGTGGTCATGGTCAGCAACAATACTGTGGGGTAGGCTGTGGCATTTAAATGATGTTCAAATGGTACTAAGGGGCTCACAGGGTGCCAAGAAAATATCCCCCATACCACCACCACCAGCCTGAACCTAGATAGAAGGCAGGGTGAATCCATGCTTTCTTGTTGTTTACATAACATTCAGACGTCGACCATCCGAATGTCACAGCAGAAATCAAGACTCATCAGACCAGACAACATTTTTCCAAACTTTTAAAGTCGAATTTTGGTGAGCCCTTGCAAACTGTTGCCTCAGTTGCCCTGTTCTGCCATGTGATTGACTGATTAGATTTTTGTGTTAAAGGAGAACTATGGGGTCAGTGTTTTTCCCCATAGTTCTCCTTAGGGTAACGGGAGGACACAAACTAGCGTCCTCCCGTTACCCTAAGCTCAGTATACCGCGAGCTACAGCTCGCGGTATACGGAGACACCGCAGCCGGAGCGGATGCCGACGTAGATGACGGGATCCGCCCAGCTGCGTGAGTGACAGCTGGCTCTGCCTATCTAGAGGCAGAGCCAGCTGTACCTGCCCCTTCCCCCGTCCGTTCCGCCAGTCAGCGCTGGCAGATCGGAGCGGGGAGAGGGGAATCCAGCCCTCCCCCTGTCACAGCAGAGAGCCGTGACAGGATCGAGAGGTGAGCGAACCTGGTATGTGTTCGCTCACCTCCCGATCTACTGAGCCGACCTGTGACAGTCTCATTGTCACAGGTAGGCTAGAACTATGAGGTGAGTGGAAATCACTCATCTCATAGTTCTCCTTTAATGAGCAATTGAACAAGTGTACCTAATAAAATGGCCAGTGAGTGTATATCTCTTGCCTGCGCAAAAGTGATGAAGGCATCAATATCTATCCAACCTTTGGTGCACATTTTATAATAAAGAATCTCTACCTCCACTACACTCAACTCTCTACACAGGTTAAGAATATGACTGCTTCACATGTTGCAACAGGAGCAAACTAGCACAGATTTCTGTTTGAAGAGCTTTGCTTGTAGGGTTGATTGCAATACTACCGTATCATGTTGGAATTTTCGGACAGTCCAAAATAACGCAGAACTGTCACAATTGAAAGCAATGGATTTTTTTATGGTTTTGTATTTTGGATGCTGAGCAATTCATCCCAGTACAGACATTAAGTATAATTGAAAAAGCTTGTGTTTTTCATTCACCATAAACTCATCTATTTTTTATTGAACAATTCAAACTTTGGCAATCGCACCATTGCCAGCCTATAGAATATAAGCAGAACAATTTTAGGTGTGGGCTGGAGTTTTGAAAATGTGGGACATATGTAATCAAATGTTTTTCTATAACTTGTTTTATTTCGTTTTTTTACAATTTCCTTAACTTTGCATTGTAATGGCTGCAAAATCAGGAAACATTTACCTTCAAAGATGTACATGAACTTGTGCTGCTGTAGACTGGATCCCATAGCCTCCTCTATGCCACTTATATCTTTATTAAGCCGTACAACAAGTGGGTCATAGTCCATGCTCTCCGCATTGGCTACAATAGCGTAGTTCCCTTGCTTGGCCAAAGGAATGAGATAGTGGAAGCAGTGAACTCTGAAACAGAACAATAGAAATGGGATTGAATTATGCTTTACAAAGTATCACATTCCTGACTTCCTTACAGCTGTCTTTCAAATGTCTTTCTCAAACCTTTCTTATTAAATGCTGCAAATATCATGCACGAAGCACAGTATAACACTTTTTTCCATAAAGCAGAGTATTAGGACCAGCTAATGTTTTGCAGCTTAAGGAAAATTTCATTTTTAGTTGCTTTTAAGGACATGGTGCCAGAGGTTACATTTTCCATAACCTTAGCCATGTCACTATGACAGATTTTAATTTACCTGCATAGAGTTTCTCAAAGATCACCTGAAAAATAGAGCCTGTGATTGATGCCTTCACCGTACACTCTGCTCACTCTGTTAATTCCAAGCAGTAAGAAAGAGAACTCTCTTATGAAATCCTGACCCCCTGGGTCACACACAAAATATCAGATGCCTCTCAGCCTGAACATTACACGTAGGCTTTGGAGACGCTTTCCTAGATTAACTTTTCAGAGACCTCCCTATTATATAAAACTTGTAATAGAAATGCTTTGGGCAGGACTGCAGCAAACTGCACTTAATGTTCTGACTGTAACCTTTACCCAAATCTGTTAAGGGTAAGTGAAATTGTTTACGCAATACAACAAAGTAATTGTGTGAACTACATAATAACAAATACAGAACATAAAATATAGGTGTGTGTGAAAGAAAGACAAAAAAAGAAAGAAAGAAAATAAATGTATAAACAGTGCAGACAAACAAACACTAATTGTACATTTCAAACCCGTGAAGTAACAACTGCTCATACGGCTCCTGTAGGGACAGTTTGAGGGATCCTTTTTCCCCATAAATTTCTGCCATGGCCACTTTTACATTTTACATTATATATTGTCTGCATATAGTTTTAATAATAAAGTGACTAAAAAAGACATATCCTTTTAAAATCAGAGGCTGCTGAAGTCACTAAGTTAATGTTACCTACTTAGTTTTTTAAGTGCACACTCTGTGATTAGTATGCAGTGTAGTACCTGGCAACTTCTCGTGAGTCTCGGCCCATCCCCTCAACTTAATTTGGAAAACTGTCCACACATGGAAGCAAATATTCAGATTATTCCATGTGGTCCTGTCAGTCACCAAATATTCGTATTGTTCTATAGGGTTTTGGAATATTTAAAAAAGTGTAATGAAATAATTAGGTCTTTTACATTCAGACAGAATAAGTCTTCTTACTTTTTAAGTAAATACTGCTAATGCTACCCAAATGGAATAATTAAATAGATTTAGTAGTTTGTGTCCATTCTGGTTGCTGCCTGTGGTGAGTTTGTGAAGAGTGAGGTTTGCCTACAGTGCTTATTAACAATTGATTTGGTCTGACACAAGATCTCTGAATATAACTGTCTACAAAATATAGTCATGCTTGATGACCATGCTTTCTTTGTTTTGTCAACATTTAAGGATTAAAGTAAACTTGTCATGAGAGAATAAAAAGGGGCACCTATTTTAATACTTTTAGACCATAAACAAGTATGAAGATCTGGAAATTCCGAGAAAAGTAACAGGCAGGCAATGCACATTAGCTTAAGCATTTCATAGGATTTCATCTTGGTGGCAATTCAATATTTAGAGATATTGCAGCTCAATAATGACCTATAAGTTTCTATAGAATTCTTAATAAATACAGATTTAATGAAAGAATTAGCATATACTTCGAGAATGATTGAATATATTCAGAAAACAAAATATGTATGCATAAATATGGATATGTATGTACACAATATGGATGTAAGCAAGATGAAAAAAACCACATTGGAATTCATACATTTCTTGAAAAGTCTGGCTGACTGCAACTCCATCTTGCACTGAGTTAAAGGAAAGCCAAGTATTAGTGGCTTTTAAGAATGTATCAAGGCTATAGAAACATTGATAGTATTCAAGGGTATTACAGGTTAAATATATGATATAGCTAAAGCTTCTATTATAACCAAAGAGGTAACTATGCACTTCCAAATACAGTCAATATAAGTCATAATCAGTCATAACATTGAGACATATAAAGATTGTCCCCCTTCCCCTGTCATAATTTAATTTTTAATGATTCAGTTACACCTTAGCCATTTTAGGGCACAGTAATACACTTTATTTTACAAATTTAATTTATTTAACTTCAAAAGTAGATTTTGTTCTTTCCAACTTTTTTTACAATGGACGATAAATCAGCAATAGTGTCCTTTTAAACAGCAATCCCGGGCAACAACTGAAAGCAATTGGCAAACTGCTAATGCAATCCAGCACACACTGCAACTGTGTCAGAGAGTTGCAGTCAGAGTCAATCTAGTTAACTTGTGGGTTTTTTTTTATTTTACGAACCCTGGCTACATATCTTTTCACATGATCAGTAGGAGTGTCTGCTTCCTAAAACCAGTACTGTGTAACTTTAACCTCTTGCCGTCCGCCCGTAGTAAAAAAACGGATGGACGGCACTGCTACATCTGCGGGTTGCCGTCTCCAGACGGCAATTTTTTTCTGCTCGCGCGCGCCCCCTAGCGGGCACGCACGGGCAGAAAAGACCCGACCGTTGCACACACCCGTTACCGGGTGTTTCACATATAGGCGATCAGCGGGTCCATAGCCCGCCGATCGCCTATATGTGCTCGTTCGCGCCATCTTGGATCCCGGGACCGGCTCCGAGGGCGTCAGGAGGAGGAGGACGGGAGATCAGCTCCTTGCTGATCTCCGTCCGGGCTGTGAATGCAGAAGTGATGTGTATTACATCACTTCCGCATTCACCTGTCAGTCATCTGGCTGCTATTGCCAGAGAGAAGAAGCTGATAAAGCAGATCTCTGCTTCATCAGCTTCTTTTGGGGTCCACAGGTGATATTAGGGGTCCTAGAGACCCCTAATATCTCCATAAAGAGGACCTGTCAGTGTGCCTTTGCTATTATATAGGGGGTTGTTATCCCCCTATATAATAGCAATAACAATAAGTGCAAAAAAATAAATATAAATAAAAAAAAATAAAAGTAACACATAAAAAAGTAAAATAAAATAAAAGTCACATATAAAAAAAGGGGAAAAAACCCCCCCAAAATGTTTAACTCCCCCACCCCCACGTTTACGCGCCTATAAACGTAAATACGCGTCCGGTGCCCCAGCGCGCAAAAATTACAATTGCGCTACACATGTTACATATCGCCGCGAACGTCGCAGTGAGAGCAATCATTTTAGGGCCATCAATCACTGATAACACTAAACTGATGAGCGGTAACAGCTTTTAAAGCGTCGCCTATGGCCAATTTTGGGTATTATCGTTTTTTGAGGTTTCGCGCGCGCACGCAATTTTAAGGCTTGACATGTTTAGTGTCTTTTTACCCGACGTGACCCCATCTTTTATATTTTACCAAAAAATTGGGTAATAATAAATGTTTTATCATTTAATATAGGGGAAACTGTGTTTTTTTTTTAAATTTCGGTAATTTTTCCTTAATATAGTAAAAAAATAAAACCCCCAGTGGTGAATAAATACCACCAAAAGAAAGCTCTATCTGTCCCCAAAAAAGGGTATAAAAATTATTTCAGTACAGCGCTGCATGACGGAATAAATGTCAGTTAAAGTACCGCAGCGCTGAATACTGAAAAATGGCCTGGATGGGAAGGGGGTTTAACACCGCGGATGTCAACTGGTTAATTATTTCTGTTAACAATTAAAAGTTAGAGAGAGTTGAGAGTTGGAGGAGAGTGTGTTTACAGCATGTTTTGACTTCGGAATAAACATTATCCAGCTTGTGATATCAGTCGTTTGTGCAGCAATTGTTTCTGAACCTTTAATTACTTCTGCTTGCTGTATCACTAGTCCAATTCAAATTACCACATGTTTAAATTACTTGTTGAGTATATTTTTCTGTTGCAGGTACAAGATTAATTCAGCTTGCAAGTCAAAATGTATTCGGCTATGAGTTACTGCACTCAGGAATTATTACTCTTTATTGAATAGGTCCAATAAATAGTAAAGTCAGCAACTAAAATAATACAGGGCTTTTTTTGTGTTGGAACATGCCAGCACACTTATTGATGCCTCTGCTCAGCCTTGTGCCCTGAGAGCCGCTGTGTGTGGTTGTCTAATGAAAGCAACATGCAGTGCCTGATATGCTTTCACTTTTGGGTTGCAGGCTCTGAGGAGCCAGAGCGATGAGTAAGTGGGCTCAGTAGACATCGTCATGCACCTGCATAGCTGCTGTGTTGCCATTGTGACTATGGTGAAGAGAGAAGCTCATGAAAAGTTCCATA